CCTCTCTCCCTCCCTCTCTCCCTCTCTCTCTACATTTGTTCTGTTTCCCTAGAGAATCCTGACTAATCAATCACCTAGCCTGTCTCCTGAGGAAATAACCTGTACCTATCCTTCAGAGCTAAGGGGGAAAAAAAAAAAAAGGCAAAAATGAGATCTACTTATGTGCCTAAACAGAAATCCACTTCCAGGAGAAAACCCAAAATACTGTCTATGCATGACCAGTAATTCGAAATTTCTATTTCAACCCCAAATGCTTGGCATCTCAAGAAGCTCTCTAAGAGCCCTGGTTCCTTCAAAAGGGAGCCTTCAGTGAGATCTGTAAAGTGAATGGCGATGCTATAAAATGGATGCATTACACCAGGAGGGGAGGAGAGAGGCCCCCCAAAAATTCAAAGAGAGATGAAATGCTAGGCATTTATTGTTCTGCTGAAACAATGAAATAAGTCTCAAGAGACACTGGTCTCCAAGCCCAGGTTTCAGTTCATCAGAATAAGATGAAGACATGAGGAAATGTGCTAAGAAACAGAACCTGGGCTGGTTTTGTTTCTAAGTTCTTTCCTCTAGAGCCACCATTGCCGCCATCGAGCAAGAGCAGCAAAGGAAGACAGAAACTCCCCTTTCTGTCCCGACTACCCAGGAAGACATCTGGGCTGTGGTGATTCTTACCTGGCCATCTGCTTATATGCTTCTTCTGCCACAGCAAAGATGTGGGGGTCCATATCCCCCATGTTTTGGCCACTGTAGGCATAGATGACATCTTGTCCATAGATTGGCAACTGTTCGTAAGGATTAATGGCAACAAGCACAATACCTGCAAACAGACAGTGCAGTCAGACTCTGGTAGTACAATGGCCACCTGGTGTCAGCTTTTAAAGGCCTCGTTCATATGCATCAAAATTAAAGAATGATAGGGTAACAGGATGAGTCACAACCAATCACTCAACTAAAGCAAGACATATCTATGTGTTTACCAGGCACAGGGCTAGGCCCAGGTAGAGAAGAGAATGACAGGGTAGGCCTCTAAATACTCTAAGCATGAAATAAACACACACACACACACACACACACACGTGCATCTTGCATATAAATGTTCGACAAATTGAATTCATAAAACAGATATGTGCAAAGTGTTTCAGGACCAGAGAAAAGAGGATACTTAACTCTGCTAACAGGAATTAGGCTTAAAAAGCAATCTCGGAATTAAAATCTAGTAAAAAGACTTAATTTTTCATTTGAGTCTGGGTTATCGTAACTAAAATACAAATAACTTGTAGACAAGGAGTACGATGTACACATCTTAAAGTTAAATCGTGGCTCAGCCAGTTATTAACTGGGTGACTAAGGCAAATTACTTAACCTCTGAGTACCTCCATTTTCCAGCCTGTAAAATGGGCATGATTGCATTTACCTGGATTATCCTGAGAATAAAATGATTAATAGAGAATGAGAACATTTAGCCCAGCACTTTGCATAGTAAGCCCAGAGTGTTAGCTATTTCTTATTATCTCATATCACATTATATCATGTATTATCTTTCATTTCACCATTTTTTTTTCATCTTATGTCCAAAAGGATGCGCTGCAATAATAGACTCGAGAAATACACAGTGATTGAAGAATCAGTAAATCTTCTAACCTTTCAGATATTCTTTTAAGGAAGAGCAAGGTAAATAGATATTTGGAAATATAAAAAGAAAAAATACAAATTCAATCTTCAAGACAAGACAGAAATCCATACCTTTTTCTTTCACATAGGCACATATTCTCGATGTCAAGAAAACTATTGACTGGCCTTCAAGAAATATGAGCTTTTCCAGTCATGTGGAAGAAAAGACAGAAATGGGAAGGTCACTGCCAGGATACGAAACCTCTTGTATTGTGTTCCCTTGTGGTGTTTGAAGAAAGGCACACTCAAAAGAATGAGAAAAACCACAGACTGGGAGAAATACTTGGAAAAACCATATCTGATAAAGGACTATTATCCAAAATATACGAAGAACTCAAGGTTTGATGACAAGGAAATAAACCGTCAATTAAAAAATGGGCAAAAGATCTAAACAGCTCACCGAAGAAGATATACTGATGGCAAATAAGCATCTGAAAAGATGCACCTCATCATATATCATTATGGAAATGCAAATTAAGACACTAATAGATGCCACTACATGCCTAGTAGAATGGCCAAAATCCAGAACTCTGACACCACCAAATGCTGATGAGGATGTGAAGCAACAGAAACTCTCATTCACTGCTGGTGGGAATGCAAAATGGTACAGCCACTTTGACAGTTTCTTACAAAACTAAACATACTCATGGCATGTGATCCAGCATTCACACTCCTTGGTATTTATCCAAAGGAACTGAAAATTTATATCCTTACATAAACCTGCACATGGATGTTTATTGCAGCTTTATTCATAATTGCCAAAACTCAGAAGCAGCTAAGATGTCCTTCGATAAGTGAATGGGTAAATAAACTGTATTACATCCACACAATAGAATATTATTCAGCACTAAAAAGAAATGAACTATCAAGATATGAAAAGACATGGAGGAAACTTAAGTGCATATTACGAAGTGAAAGAAGTCAGTCTGAAAAGGCTACTCACTGTGTTTCCAACCACAGAATTTTGTCTTCTATAAAAGGCAAAATTATGGAGATAATCTAAAAGATCAGTGGTTGCCAAGGGTTAATGGGAAGAGAAGGATGAACAGGCACAGCACAGATGACTTTTAGGGCGGTGAAACCACTGCTATGATTCCATAATGGCAGATATATGTCATTATGGTTTTGCCCAAACCCATAGGATGTACAACACCAAGAGTAATAAACCCTAATATAACTATGGACTTTGAGTGACAATGATGTGTCATTGTGGATTCATCAATTATAACAAATGTATCCCTCTTGAGCAGAATTTTGACAGCTGAGGCGGCCATGCGTGTGTGGCAGAAGGGGGTATATGGGAAATCTCTGCATTTTCCACTCGATGTTGCTATGAACCTAAAACTGCCTTAAAAAGTAAAATCTACTTAAAAGGAAAAAAAAATGAGACAGAGAGAGAGGAAACGTAATAAACCAAGTAAAGGGCAAAGAGAGGAAGATGACACCCGACATCTGAAGTTCCCTTCAGATGGAAGTTTGTCTGAAAAATAAGACACAGGGCTCTGACAATGTCTATTTGATATGGGTAATGACTTGGAGAGTTCCCTTAAGAACAGCCTCGCATTCTGCTGGTTTCTTAAGTTGTATAAAACCCTAATTCTTGTCGCATTCAATTCAAATTTTGATATTCTACTCTGAGGTCACACACTTGGGAAGAAATGAGTGCTTCTTAACGAAATAGGATTCTGTGCTATGTCCGCCACTCTGAACAGCTGAAGTGTCTGGATAAACATGTACGTTTATAGGGTTCGTGTTTTTACCATACCATTTAACAATACTCTAAAAAAGAAACACCCAATTTGAAACATGGATTATTGAGAAATTTTAAGAAAAACGAGTATGAAGGAATTTTAAGACTTCTGGTTTAAAGCATTTGTCGTGGCTTCTGCTCACGAATTTGACAAATGTTCATCATGCACTATGTTTGTACATGGGTGAGTGAGAGGGTCAGAGAAAAAGGCATCCCTTTCTCAAGCAGGAAACTAGAATACACATACAGGACTGCGCTCGGTGGTGAGAGCAGATGCCCGAGCTAGGACATCACTCCCCTAAGACTCCAGGGCTGTTGCCTAAGCCAGAAAAGCCACCCAGTGTGGCCCACTTCTTCCCTGGTTGAGCTGTGATTAACACCAATCACCCCACAAAGATGTAGGGCAATGTAATGAAGCCACATTCACTGATTAAAAACCTTTCGAGGATCTCAGATGAGAGATACTTATAAATGAGACTGAAAGTAGGAGTCTTAATCACCGGAGTTGAACACATAAAGTCTGAAGATTGTAAGCACTTTCAAACCCACACAGCTATTAGATGCCCCTCACTTACCACAGTAAGTGTAGATATGGTTCGACTCCAGGAAACGGACCTTTAAATTGTGCAAAACTGCAGGCTCGTGTAGATAGCTAAGGGCAGTCAGGTCATTTTCTCCCACCAAGATATCTGGATTCCGCAAGAAGGGCAGCTGGTTGCTTTGGACATCGATGGGGTATTCCCGAATCTAAATGCAAGTAACAGACACAAAAAAGCAGAGTTATGAAACATTTAGCTTGTATTCAATTCCTGTCTTGTTGGCTAGGATCACTATCCTAAGCAGATCATAAGTGATGAAGATAAATAACATGGTTTAAAGAACGGCAAACCAAACAAAATAGCGGTGTTGCCATAAGAAACCAGCCCAGGTGGAAATTTTGCTGCTAACATGATCCCAGTGTATCAAGGTAAAAGACTGAATGATATGAGAAATTCAGGAAGCACAACTAGATTAATAAAGCATTCTACTGCTTCTCAATGAAAGGATACTTACCAAGTCTTTAATTCTAGTTGCAACAGAAGTACTGTTCTTTCTCCCATCCAGGAAACCTCCTTTGCTTTGCCCCATTTCATGCTGGTCTTCCCATCAACCAATGCACTCACCTTTTATTTGGATTACCTTGCAATAAATTGCCCTCCATAACAGCCCTCAAGATGTACATAAATTTTTTACAACCTAACTGCAAGTTACTCTAGGGCAATGATTTTACTTTAACCTAAAGTATAACAGGAGCGGGTGGGTGTGTATGTGTGTGTCTGTGTCTGTGTGTGTGTGTAATCAGGGAGTATGACTACACATCTTAAATTCAAATCTCAAATGCAAGGTATTATCTCTGTACTCAACGGCACTTGGGCTACATAAATTTATTGACAGGATATATTTATAACTTTGATTATGTGTGTACGAAGATGTACAAACAATTAATAAAAAAGATGGTGGTGGTGTTTTTAAACATTTAAACAGAAGGAACTTGGCTGCTACTTACCATGTTTTATCTGAGTAACAGAGATTCACAGACATAGATAATAGACTAGTGGTTACCAGAAGGTGGGCAGAAGGAGAAGGTAGATGGGGTAAAAAGGGTCAAATATGTGGTGATAGAAATCTAACTATGGGCAGTGAACACACAATGCAACATATATACATATATGTGTATGTGTATACACACACACACACACACACACACACACGTCTTACTGTTGAATTGTACACCTGAAACTTACTGGATTTCGTTAACTAATGTTGCCATAATAAAAAATTTTTTTAAAAAAAGAAACATTGAAAAGAAAGCATATTTGGATGAAATAAAAATAAATTATGTTAAAAAAAAAAAAAAGAATCATGAGAGTTTGTAAAAACAGTTTCCCAAATGTGACTTATGTTCAGGAACTCTGGGTGGGGCTCAGGAACCTGAATTTTTAAAAATTCCTAAGTAGTTCTGATACAGGTGGCTCAAGGCTCATTATTTAAGAATAACTACTCTATATGAGCCTTTCACAAAATTCTATGGACACAGCCTTAATTTACTAAGATAATAGTCAAATTTTAAGAGAATATAAATATCAATGTCCCCTCCCATCCCACTCTTAGCAAAACTGTACTACCAGATCTTAAGGTATATTATTAAAGCCGGCAATTAAAGTACAACGGTAATAGTGCTAAAATAGACACAGATAAATAAAATGCAATAGCAAGCACATATGGAAAATTTGTTCATGATAACATTAAAATTGCAAATAAATGGTTAGAAGGAATTTTCCAAATAATAGTGGTAGATAAACCAGCAGCCATTTATAAAAAATACTGGGCCAGTGTTCTATTCTCACTCCTCACACCAAAATAAATTGTAGATGAAACAAATGTGAAAATTAAAACCAGAACGGAAAACAAAAGCATTAAAAAAAGTGTGGGCAAATATCTGTAAAAGTTTTGGAAGAAATTAGTTTTAAAGGACAAAGCAAAAGCCAGAATAATGTTGGAAAATATTAATTTGACTATAATACAGAATATTAAAACCATCATAAAACATAGCATATGCAGAGTAAAACTGGAGGAGGGGACATTAATTCTACAGTACATGACAGACTTAATAATCTTAATATCCGAAAAGTTTTAAGAAATCAAAGCAAAATCTACGCCTCGACAAAAAATTGTGCATAGGCTACAAGTCACAAAATAATAACTACAAATGAAAAACTATTCAACTTGACCATTAAACAAAACGATGCGAACGAGGGTTATTAGCACTAATATCCATCAGATAAGCAAAGGTATGAAAATAAGACCCTAACTAGGAAGGGTGTGTGCAAACAGGTCCACTGCTTTTTTGGTTCAGACTGATTTACCCTTTCTGGAGGGCAGCTGGCAACACCTAGTCAGAACTTTTTGTGGATATGCTCTTCATTGGCCTCAGGAGACAGTCTTATAAACTAGCAAAGATACTGACTCGCTGAAGCTATAAATATCAAAGTAAAACATGACATAGGCCTATATTTACAGTCAGGCAGCTACCCACAGCATTCTGCTGACTCTAAGAAAAAGTGTGTTACAGAATGAAATATAAGATTCCGTTTATTTAAAACTGTATATCAAGGTCTGTCTGGAGTAACAGCCACACAAAACAGCAATGGTCATCTATGTTAGTGAGATTTTCAACTTTGTCAGTTTCCTGTTGTTGGTTTTTCTTTTTTATGTATTAATCAAGGCTCTTTTCTTTCTGTGAAAAGTTCTTTTATTTATATCAAATTTACTCCATAGAGGAGGCCAGGAAACAACTATCATGAACATGAGGCTGACAAAACTTCCGAAAGGTGAGAAACAAGGGGAAATGGAGTGCTGAAAATTGATTTTTATTTCATCGTATTCTAGAGCGCATGACCCCTTCACCTCCTGCTGAGTTAGTGGTATCACTGGGACTCTAACCAGACCTCCCCGCTGAGGCATTCTAAAGGCATTCTAAAGAAGTCCCTCCCCCGTAGGAGCTCATCTGCTCTGCATCTCCCCCTTGGCTGTCCACCCCACCGCAGTAAGCAGTGCAGGGAACAGCCAATTGCAAAACTGCAGCGCCCACCTAGCTGACCCCTCGGTTTTCAGATTGGAAAGCTGGGATCTGAGCCCAGTGTCTTTAAACGCTGAAGCAGAAATGCTGGCATTTCATCTTTTCTTAGATGAATCTCCCCCACAAAAGGCTCTCCCAAAAGCATGCAGAGGAAAACGCATATGCAATTTTGTGAAAACACGGTCCACAAATAAGCTACTGGTATTGGTTACAGTAAAACTGATAAAGAGTAAAAATGTCCAGAGCAGCAGAAAAGAGGCAGAGCTGCAAACTCAGCATTCAAAGCTACAGATTCCTTGGTGTGTGTATCCAGAGGGGAGGAGAGAATGAAAGATTTGAGGATTTTTTTTTTTCCTTTAACAGGAATTTGATTCTAACACTGCCGCTAACATCAAAAACATTTATGGCTAACATGGTTTTATTTGAAATCTAAGCGTTTATGATGTGATCAGGGACCATGGACTTTCGGGCACAAAAGACATCACTACGTAAGAACTGGGCCTTTGGAGGTAAAAAAAAAAAAAAAAAAAAGGTTGACTGTTAACTGTTAACACTCATCACAAAATTAATGATCAGTCACTTACCTAGAATAGACCTTGGAGACCCCTTGAGACCAGGAATAGATGGAGGTCTCCAACTGGCCCCCAACTAGCATACAGGACTAGACGGCACTTGAGAATGTAAAGGGAGGGACGGGGTTTGGGGACTGCTCTGCACCTGTACTCTCCAACTGGATAGCACATATGGCTAAATTCACTAAAATGAAATGCAATTAAAACCTCAGTTTCTCAGTCACATTAGCCATATTTCAAAAGCCCGGTAGCCACATGTGGCTAGTGACTACCGCACTGGACAATACAGAGAGAACACTCCACTGAAGCACAATGTTCTACTGGACAGTGCTGGTCTAGATTGCCCTAAACTCTGTGGGTATGCGATTCAATGATATTTAGTAGGTGCTTAAAAAATATTAGTTAAGTGGAAAGTCTAATTTATTCATGATCTCTCCCTTCCCTCAATTTGAGTCCATGTTACATGGTACTGCAGCAAAAAAAAAACAAAGATCTTTGAATGACAACTCCCGACACAGACATTTGAAGCTAATAGTAATCATATATGGTAGGTGAAGAAAGCTAACTTCCTTCTCCTACTCTACCCACAGAAATCTTCTGATTTGGAGAAAAGTCAAGTCAGTAAAAATATGGTTACCAGCTAGCAAGGGGACCCTGAGGAGCTTCATGTATCATATTCCGCTGGAAATGGCACCCAACTCAAGCAGTGGCTCTCAACTTTTCCTGTACCTTGGAATTTCATGGGGAGCTTTATAAAAAGACACACTACTGTGTCCCATCCCCAAATTCAGATTTAAGTGGTCTGGCTGGTACCTTGGCTTTATGATTTTTTTTTTAAGAACTCACCAGGGAGTTCTAATGTGTAGCCAAAGTTTAGACTCACTGAACTCAACTGCGATGAGGCCCTGAGCCCATTACTTTCTTAGACCTCAGGATGAGAGGACTGGTCTCTCATTGTATTAAAAGACTTTTACATTATGTCCTAAACGAGTGTTTTAAAAGCACAAATATTTATTGAATAAAAGTTCTTCTGTGTCTTACTCTGTAAAAGTTCTGTGTTTAAGTTTAGCACCATCTTCTCCAGTCCTCCAAAAGATGTCTCTTAAAAAGAACCTTCTTATTCTTACCCTCCTACTACTTAGCACAGGCCTAAACTTAATTACTTGAAAAATAAAATACTCTTTGTTTCATGTAAACTTCTTACTTAGGAAAGATTGGTTAGGTTAGGAGAAAGTAAAAAATTAACCCTGAAACCTCAATGGCTTAATACCACAAAGATTTCTCTCACTCACGCTAGGTGCCCAAGGCTGGCTGGTATGGAAGCTTTGCTCCACGGGTCACTCTGATGTCAACATATAGCTTTCACATTCACCAGGCAGTGAAGGAGAGCCTGACAAACTCCCATCAGTTCTTTTCTGCTCTCTGGAAGTGGTATCCATCAATTCTACCTAGAGCTTTCCGGACAAAAGTCCTCATGGGGTCTCACCTAACTGCAAGGGGGATGAGGAGGGTGGCGGAGTATTTAGATACCATTCTGCCATGATAAGTGTTCCTGCTTTGGGAAGTCAGCAGAAACTCAGAGGCAACTGCCCAAATGGGTTTCAAAACAAGTGTGGAGTTGGGGAGTAAAGAGAGAAGGTGCATTGGGGCAGAGTCAGGTAGCTCACCATATTTCCAATAGACTTCTAAAGACGCCTGGCCTTGAACTTTTCATATTCTAAACCCTATATTTGTGTGTGTGTGTGTGTTACATTCATTATAAGTTAGACTGAAAGCTCCACAAAGGTGCACATGTGCCATTTTCACTGCTGTATAACCGGACACCAGCATATAATTGCTCGATAATGATTGTTTTAATAATGGATAATGAATGAATGGTGATGCGAGCAATTAAAGGAAGAAAAAGGCCATAAATTAAAATATACAATTAAAAAGTCTAAATTAATAAAATTCAAACTGAATTTTGCTAATTGAATTAACGAAAAGTTTTAATAAACAAAATTACGGCAGCATAAAATATGGAGTCAGAGTTAATATTTTGATTTCAATTTATTGCAGGGAACATGGCTCCCACATTCTGTTAGAATCATGGAACCCCAGTTTATCCTGACCATTTCCTCTATGGGCCTAAACGAGGCTTTCTCAGCCTTGGCACCGTTTTCATTCAGGACTGGATAATTCTTTCCTTGGGGAAGCAAGGAAGGAGGCGGCTGAATTTATGAGGTGCTTACCAGCATCCCTGCTCTCTACCCACAAGATACCAGTAGCAAACCTCCCTTCTCAGTCATGACAAACAAAAATGTAGCCAGACATTGCCCAATGTCTGGGAGGCGGGGGGATAAGGGAGCAAAATGACTGCTTCACCCACCTCCAAGCAGAAGCAGCCAGGCAAAATATACTAACTGATAAGAAAAGATCATGACTACCGGAGGGGAACAGGTCGATGATATTAAGTAGGCAGATGTCAATCTGGAGGTGGATGGTGGTGGTGGTGGCACAGGAATGAACCCTACCTATACTGTTTTTTATGCCCCTGACCTGTACACTTAAAATGGTGACGATGGTAAATGTAGAGGGCCTGGATATGCTGGAGCATGTTACTCCTTTTAAAGCTTACGTACTTCCGTCTTCCTCTCACTCGTGAACACTAAGTCAGGGCCTTGTACGCAGAGAGCACTCACCATCAAGGTGGTGGCTAGGCACACGGGATGCAGAATTTAAATGTGAGACCATGGAAATGGGGTGAGTGTTCCGTTCCCTGCCACTAGAGGGCAGAAGCCAAGCAGCCTGTATGGGAGGTTGGGGCGGGAGAGACTGCCCGGCAGAGTTCCACTCCGGGCAA